TGAAATCAGTTCAGTGCTTTAAATATCCAATGCATAGGTACGCACTACGGCGGAAGTAATGGAAATGGTGAAGATATTTTTTTATGGGATAAGGCGGTAAGTAATCCATCAAACGCAAACGCAACAACGAGGAATTACAAGCGCGTTGCCTTGGTTTTGGAGGGTAGAGATATGGGTTTGAGTCACAGATATATTTTCTGTGGTTTGAGTATTGAAAAGTAAAATACCTAATACCTACCTGGGTAGGTACTAGCCGCTACACTGTTCTCTCTAAACATACACTAGGTAGGTATTCTCACAACCATTCACATGGTAGACCACGATCGAGCTCACTTCAAGAATTAGAATTGCTATTTTACAGAATAGAACATTTTGTTCATTTCTTTGGAGTGGTTAGTCTAATTAACTGACAATTTAATGTACCTATCACGTAATGTATCCCAAAATATTTTAGCAAACCGAAACCGACTACCCTCTAAGGTGTCATGTTACCTTTGTATATTAATAGGTAGGTACCTTGATTTAATATGGCAATAGGCTCACCCCCTATTACATGGGACTCATAACATAAATAGTGAAAAGTGGGTGTTACATTGTACAGTGGCATTAAGTGCCGTAATGCTCACCTCTGCCTACCCCTTCGGGGATAAAAGGCGTGATGTTATGTTACGGCAACACATGTTCAAATTCCTAATAAAATGAATGGAAATTAGATTTTTTATAAGCCGGTAAACGAGCAGACGTATCACTTGATGGTAAGCAATCGGCGTCGCCCATGGACACCTGGAACACCAGAGGTGTTACGGCCTTTTAGGGGTTAGGAATTTGAGGATTGTTGAGGATTCAGGGTTTAGGAAGATTTGGGAAAGGGGGTTAATTGCGTCTCCAGTAACTTCAATCACACGACAAAACAACGCAAGCGTTGTTTCACGACGGTTTTCTGTGAGGCCGTGGTATCACTCCGGTCGAGTCGGCCATGCGTGCCTCTCGCTGCTATTGCAGCGGCAAGCCCCCTCTTTGAGGAGTGGCTTGAGAGACGCTACTGCGTCCTCACCTACCGCCTGACGCAGGTCCTCACCGGACATGGGAGTTTCGGGAGGCACCTGTGTCTGATGGGGTGGGAGGAAGCGAAGCGCTGCCTCCTCGCAACCCAGCCATCGTGAAGGACATACCGGGCGTCGGGGATCGCGGGACGATCTCCGGCCACCATAAGCACGGGCCTGCGGACGATGAGCATGGGTGGCTCCCCGTCCGACCAGAAACAAACCCGAGCGTACGGCGCGTCGCGTTCCGCGCGCGCCTCAAAGAGCCATCAGACCACCATAGATGGGGCCCAATAGGGCCGATGCCGATTCGGAGTCGTGGAGAACCTAACGGGTAACCGGGGCT